GATGTGCCCGCAACCCAGGTACATGCCCCTGACCGGAATCGAACCTGGGACCTTTCAGTCCGCAGGCCGACGCTCTATCCACTGAGCCAAACCGGTTTCGGCAATAAAGAAATTTTAAAAAAGAACACTTGAGAGATTTCTGACCAACATTTTTAAATGAGTGGTTCATTAGAATTTAAATATGAGCTCACTTTAAAGAACATATATATTTTAAACATCAGAAATCATGATAAAACAGTGTCTCATATACTCAACTTATTTTCAACAGATTTTGCTGGCTTCTTCTCTCTGTTCCTTAACTACTAATTGATTCCACCTTTAGCATTCTATTTCATTTTTTAAAATTTTCTGCTGTTTAAAATTACTCACTTTTATTTATGACACAAATAATGCTGAGATAAAGCTACACAAAGAGAAAGTCTCAGACATCTATGCATGCCTGGCAGAGACCAGTCTTATTCACTTTAAATGTTCTGCAGGACCAAGCTTAGTAGGTGCTTAGTAAACACTTGCCAAGAGGAACTATTGGACTGAGTTAAATTCACTGTAGCTGCATCAGTAAGTGAATGCCAAAAATTAGACCCACCTGAACTTCTATCCTATATAATAAAAGGCTAATATGCAAATTGTTCCCTTGACCGGGAGTTCAACTAGGAGTTCGACCAGGGGCTGGGCCAGCGGACAACCACCAGTGGCCACCCCCCCCCAGCCGGCCCCACCCCATAGGCAGGCCAGCGGACCCCACCCATGCACTAAATCGTACACCAGGCCTCTAGTAGATAAATGAATAGCATGATCGTGCTCCATAGCACGATTTCTCACCTCAGCAATATTGACATTTAGGGCTGGGTGATTCTTTGTTGTAGGGGCCTGTTCTTTGCATTGTAGGAGTTTAGCAGCATCTCTGACCCCTACTCACTGGATGTGTCAGTAGCACCTCCTCCAGCTGTGACAAACAAAAATGTCTCTAGACATTTCCAAATCCCCTGGGAATAGAGGAGAGCAAAATCACCCCCATTGGAGAACCACTGCTCCAGAGAAAACTCTCTAGGATTCTAAAACCTTTTTAGAATGATGCTGAACAACAGAGCAATAGACCATTACCTTACTTTGCCTCAGTAGCAAGCAAACCTATCTGCATCTCCCACTTGTGGGAGCCTGTTTACTCATGGATGTAAACAACTAATCACTCAGTGGGAGAGGGTAGCATCGCCTCCCTGACACGGATTGCCATTTCTTTTGCTGCAGAGCTCTGGAGAGTGTACTATTTCATTCAACAAAAATTAAAGAGAGAACTAGGTGCAGTATTGTCAGAACACATGGAATCAGAGGAGAGAATTGAGAGGTTGGGTATACCTGTGTGGGGCTCTGATATTTCAGGCTCATCTGACGTTGTAGGGCTTGAGAAAACATCATAAGCTGCTTTAAAGGAAAAGGTAAAACAAAAGAGATAATGTTAATTTTGACTGAACAGATTTCACGACATATTTTAATAATGGTCTTCACTACAGTGTAAGCAGTTGCTAACACTTACTGTAGTCCCTCTTGACCTGAACTAAAGGTCTCTGTGCAGCGAGCCTGACACCGGCCTCAGGCTGATGTGCGCATAGTGCTGTATATTTACAGTAAAGTGGTGCCAGCTCTAAATCAAAGAGCTCCCAAGAATATAAACGTAAACGAAGTCAGATGGGAGAGATTTCCAAAGAAGGAAACAACATTCACGTAGAGACTCTTCGCACAAAGTCTACTGCTTCGTCTTTCTGCTTAGTAAACGTTTCCATCATGCTACCTTAACATTCGGACAGCACTTTACGATTTGCACTGCGCTGTCTCATATATATGTTTATTTAACTGCCTTAACACCCCTGAGAAATCGGTGAGGTAGACTTTATTCCCACTTCATAGATAAGGATATTATCTCTATTTTCTAGACAACGCAGCGGAGATTCACAATGGTGATACATTTGCCAGCGGTCACACATGGGATTGTCCAGTGCAGCATATTTTTCACTGCATTCACAGGGCCAGGAAGAGCGGTGCTAAGACCCAGCACTCTATCCCTTGCACTGTTGTTCTTGCCCCTTTACCTGGAGGCAGCCTTCTTTCTCTGTTCCTCCAGTAAGCCAAGAGCCCCTCTATAATCTAAGTGGATTTAAAGATAACATTTATATTCTACATGAAATAAAGAAAGCAGGGTGATCTTAAAAACAAAGGTTGGTTTTAAAACAAGGGTCATTTTCATGTTCACATAAGAGTTGAATCTGTAAGCAAAAACAGGACCAAAATACAAATGTCCTCTCTTCTGCACCAAGAGCTGTCACTACGATAATGACAGGTGTACAGAAGCTTGAATTGTGAGGTAGACTTTCCTTTCCTTGCCCCTTCAAAAAGGCTGTACAGAAGTAAACTAGAAAGGTGGGGGGAGCTCATGGGAAAATTCTCTCATGGGGTTACTTGTAATTCAATGACAGTGTAATGATTTGAACCACCCCTAGTTGAAGCTATAAGAAAGATAATATCAGACCCTGTGACACACTCTGATATTCAGATTGGACAGTTTATATTGTACCACATACTAAAGAGGCAGGAGATACATTTCAGCATGTGAAGGTGAGTCTATTGCTTTGCAAAATCTTAAAACAACAACAACAAATAAACATCCAGTAAGAACAGCACTCAGAATATTATGAGTTAAAATGTGCAAACATTCTGAGTGTAAGTACATTACATCTTTAGTGTAGCTACAACTTTAAAGGGTCAGAGAAGAAAGGCGAATCTTCCAAAGAACAGAAAAGCTGGCAGTTGCTGATTTTAGTCTTGCTTTAAGCCAATTTCATGGAACCCTCGAAGTCAGCTCTAGCTACCACTAAATAAAGTAAGAAACCTTGACCAACTTGTATTTCACCCTCTCATACTAGGAAAGAAATTATGAATTAATAGCTTGACTTATTTATATTGTTACTTTTGAAATATACAACTGTCTTTATGTTACCCTAAGTCCCACACTTTCCTTTTATCTAGTGACAGTGGCCCATCTTTCTTACAGTCTGTAATTTTGTCCCACAGGTCGATGCTTATTCACCGTCTCTATTTCTTTTCCATACTTGCAATTTCCTTCTAGTCTGGAGTTCCCAAGCCTGGCTGCCACCTTCCTTGGCTTATTCTCAGAAGTCACTCCCCTGGGAGGAAGCCCCTTCCCATCATTCCTGGGCAACGGTGGCCTCCGTCTGGAAGTTCTCAATGGTCAGGGACCTTTTACTTCCAAACATTTTCTCAAATATGCTCCAAGATGAAAATAACACATTTGCCAGCAGACTTGGCCCTTCATATTTCTATTTCTGGAGTTTGTGAGAATTGAGTAGTAAATAACAGGAGTGCTAAAATCACACAAACACCATTTGGTGGAAGTTTTACATTGTGTGGGCTGCCTTGAAAAGCACACCACCACCTCAGATCATTCAGGGGTTAAACAAGATTTTTTTTTTTACTCTGAAGTAATACATGTCAGAGGAGAGGATAGTGTTGAAATGAAGGTCCCTAAAAACCAACTGCTCTTGCTTTCTTTACAAAACTCTTATATATGTACTCCTATACCAGAGCAAAATGCATGGCATGGTCAGCCACTGCAGGTTTTTAAAAGGCTACAAAACTGACAAATAGCTAAGAATTAGGAGTGAATCCCTCTGTTTTTTAGACACTCTATGTTCTGTCATGCATTATTGTTTAGAGGCAAGTATCTTGCCACCAATGTTTACTTAGTGGATGAAATGCTCCAGCCATCTGGCATTAAGCACTATCTCTCACCTATACATGAGACCAAGGGTTGGAGGAGAAATCTAATGTGTTTAATAAGTAGTTCAATTCAAATGTTACAATGAGCAATATTAGTTTCTTTCAAAATATAGTAATGACTTATGATCATGATAGCTAAGTTTTACTCTTCTATTTTTCAGATAAAAATATTATAGTATGAGATAAGTCACACTACCATTTGCTCATAACTTCCTAAAACCATATTGTTAATTGTGTTTTGTTATTTGTATATTTTTACTTAAAAAAACCGATTAGATGAAAATTCCATACTAAAAATGCTATGATCTTGCTCTGGAAACATACAATGGCAATACTGACAAGGTATTTCCAATTATCAAGAATTTATCAGTTTGTTTTATTCAAACAGCATGAATATTAATAACTATGTGAAAGACAGTCATCAGTAGGATAGAAATTGTGACTGTCATGCTCATTATGTGCTCCAAGGTTATTTCCCCAAAGCCTGGTACAAAGCAGAGACTAAACAGAGTTAATGTACAGATGCCCATTACAATAAACAAGTAACAATGAGTTTGATAGTTGGGTAGCTTATGCTCTTAGTAAAGATGAATGAGAATAAATGAACAGGTCCTTTAATTATTCTATGATACACATACATGTGCAACAAATGTTATTCTCTGCTACACAATTATGTACCATGTGCTTGTGTGGCCATACCCTGCCATGGAAATAGAATCATAAAAACATACATGAAGAGGCAATGGGACATATGCATCCCTATGTTCATAGAAGCACACTTTGCAGTAGCTGAGATTTGGAAACAGCCTAAGTGCCCATCAGCAGATGAGTAGATTAGAAAACTGTGGTACATCTACACAATGGAATACTACGCTGCTGTAAAAAAGAAGGAATTTTTACCATTTGCAACAGCATGGATGGAACTAGAGAGAATTATGCTAAGCGAAATAAGCCAGTCAGAGAAAGAGAAAATATCACATGATCTCACTCATTTGTGGAATATACTGAACAACATAAACAAAAATAGAATCAGAGTCATAGAAGCATCGAACAGACCGTACAATCTATGAGGGAAGGTGGGAGATGAAGGGGTAAGAGATCAACCAAAAAACTTGTATGCATGCATATGAGCATAACCAATGGACACAGACAGTAGGGGGGTGAGTGCATGTGCTGAAGGGTGGGGGTGTCCAGGGAGAGGTCAATGGGGGAAAAAGGAGACTTATGTAATACTTTAAACAATAAATAATTTTTTTAAAAAAGATGCAATGGGAAAATACAACAGGATTATAAAAAATAGCTGATGAGAAAAACATTTATATAAACACCACACACAGAGTTCTCAGTATCATTTCAAAAAATAAATAATGCTTTTTTCAATTCATAGGAAAATAAAATACCTTTCCAATTAAACCTGAAATTTGTGAAAATATGGTCTGCAAAAAAAAATGCTCATGAAGTAAAGTCAAAGGCTGAGGTTATAAATCTCTAAGAGGCCACAGGAAATCTGTAAACCATCTACTACACTTGAAATCTATTTTCTTGCTCTCGAAGCATCACCACCACCACTCATTCCTACTTTTTCTCCTCTCTAGAGCTTAATCCAGTTGGGTGGGCCAGATCTATGATAACCAACACCTGACAGGTGGGCAATAAGATCCAAACGTAGAGTTCAACCTCTTTTCAGCCACCCTGAGCAAACCACCTGGGTCAAAATGTTCTATCCAGTATAGGACTCCTCAGGCACACTGACCAGTTCAACTTTCAAGTCTTTAAGTAATTGATGGAGCTTAAGCACATATAGCAATTTACTACAGCTCTACAAAGTACTGAAAGAATTAAACATTGAAAATAATTGGTGATAAACTCTTAAAGGTAGTTCTCTTTAATGGAGTCTAATGAAAAGACTGAGGTCTAACATCCTCAGTTCTAATTATAAAGGGAAGTCCCTAAAGATAACCATTTATTGTGCAAGGGGAAATATTTCTGCCAGAAGAAGTCACTGTCTTAGTCACAGTACAATTGGAGGGGGAAATCAGTTTGTCTGGACACTGTGGGGGAAGAACAGACAGGAGAATTTTCTAGATGAAAATAAACTCAGTGAATCACCCTGGGATTATATAAAAAATTTTTATTTTATTTGGGCTTTAAATCCCTCCTGGTACTAAATGATGGTCTTTTAAGAGGATAATCAAAGAAATTAAGGAGCCTTAACACTGATGGCATTATCAAGCTAGAAACAGAAAGTTGATTTCCATCCGCCCCCTCAAACCATACCAGGGCTTTAGAAATCATGCCCATATCCCATCTGAGGGATGGTCAATACATGGCATTTATGCTGCTTCTCTCAACTCTGATGCCCACAGAAAACACAGAAAGTTGTCTTGTCATCAATTTTACTCCCTGAGCCTAGGCAGGGTCTGAGCCCAGTTCACAGAATGATACAGGTTGCCACTCTAACTGAACAGAATGGCCAAGGGATAACAATTTACCAGCCATGCTGTGGGCTTAATAGGACATCAGGCCATTCCCACAAGGTTGCAAGGTTCTCCTAATACCATAGCACACATCCTTTCCATTCTCCTTAAAAAATTTTCACAGGTGAAATGAAGACCCAAGAATCATTTGAT